TGACTACGAGCTTCACTCACTTGACTTCAGCACTGCTTTCCTGCAGGGTAGCCTGCACGAGGAGATCTGGCTGCGCCATCCACCTGGCTTTACTGGGACTTTCCCTCCTGGCACCCAGTGGAGCCTCCGACGGCCAGTCTACGGTCTCCGCCAGGCACCGCGCGAGTGGCACGACACACTGAGGACTACACTTGCGGCTCTTGGGTTTGCTCCCTCTACTGCTGACCCATCGCTGTCTCTACGCATCGACACCTCTCTGCCGCCGTTCTACATCCTCGTGTACATCGACGACTTGGTCTTTGCCACAGCTGACACTACTGGACTCGCCCACGTAAAGTCTGAGCTGCAGAAGAGACACACGTGCACAGACCTGGGTGAACTGCGCAGCTACCTTGGCTTGCAGATCACCCGGGACAGAGCACGCTGCACCATTACCCTGACTCAGTCACACATGGTGCGGTAGGTCCTTCAGCGCTTCGGCTTCACGTACTCCTCGCCTCAGGCCACTCCTCTGTCTACTCGCCACTCGCTCTCAGCTCTGCCTTCGGATGAGTCCGTAGAGTCGAGTGGCCCGTACCCAGAGCTTGTTGGCTGCCTCATGTACCTGATGACCTGCACTCGATCTGACCTTGCATACCCTCTTAGCATTCTTGCACGCTATGTTGCTCCTGGGAGACACAAACCAGAGCACATGGCTGCAGCGAAGAGGGTGTTGCGCTACTTGTGCAGTACGTCGGGCATGGGGCTAGTGCTTGGAGGGCGGAGTCCAGTGGTCCTCACTGGGCACGCGGTCGCTTCTTGGGCAGACGACCTGGCTACGCAGCGGTCGTTACAGGGTTACACCTTCAGCCTTGGTTCCGGCTTTGTTTCGTGGCGGGCTACTCGCTCGTCTTCTGTTCTCGGCTCCAGTTGTGAGGCTGAGATCTACGCCGGGGCCATGGCTGCACAGGAGCTTCGCTGGCTTACCTACCTGCTGACTGACCTCGGAGAGCCGCCTCGTTCTCCTCCGGTGCTGTACGTAGACAACAAGGCCATGCTAGCCTTGTGTCGGGAGCAGCGCCTGGAGCACAGAACCAAGCACATTGCTCTCCGCTACTTTCTTGCTCGTGAGTTGCAGCAGCGTGGTCAGTTGCGACTTGCGTACGTGGCCTCTGAGGCCAACACTGCTGATGTTTTCACCAAGGCACTTCCGCCTTGTGATCATCAGCGCTTCTGCACTCAGCTGGGTCTTGTGCCTGTCTTGCCTCACTTGCTCACCCCTTGACCTTGCTTGTACTCTTACATATATATATACCTGCTCTTGCTTGTTTAGCCTTATATATATATATGTGTACTCCTGCATGTGAACTGGCCTTGTGGCCTTGACCTTGTGCTCGGACTGTGTGGTGACGTTGTGATCCACCCTGAGCTTTGTCTGCTTTGCCTGAGTGGTCTTGTGACCCCTTGTTCTCCCCCACTTTGCCTATGGGGGTGTATCAAATTATAATATTGTGTAGGCTATAGTGGGGTAGCCTATATGGGGTACACATTTCTAGGGTTGCATATTTGTATCACTTCCATTCCTTAGTCATTCATTCTCGTTCACATCTTCTCACAACATCATCTGGGCGTTCGGTAAAAATAAGAAGTTTGAGGCCCACACTCCGACCAACCGGTGAGTTTCGTCCCTCTAAAATCCGAGTGAAGAGACAAAAAAAAAAAAGTCACTGCCCTGAGCAGGTGTCGCTGCTGGATCGAGCGATCGAAAAATGTCATGTCGTGAGCAGGTGTCGCAAGTTTTCTATGGCCGCTTTCTGCCCTCCCCTTAAGTTCGCCCCAGCAGGGTGTGTTCATCATCCCTTTCTTCTCCACCTCCCCAGTTCAAGCTCCATGCACATTTACGTTGTTTAATTTATACAGTGCGCCTCTGACTCATCTGGTGCATCCAACCGTGCTCTGGGGGGCTTGCTAACTCGCTAACTTTCTCTCCGTGTTGCCCTTTGTTTACTGGAGTGGTTACAAGTCCGTGTATCTCTCATGCGCCGCCTGAGAACGCTTCATAGCTGGGCATAGGCTATTGCGCCAAACTGCAGATAATGGTCCACCAGGATGGCTAAAGTAGGTTCCTGCCGTTGTAGTGTAGCGCATCTAGGAAGCATGAGTTTTACTTGGATGACGATGGCCAGTTCCCATTGCCCATCAGAGTCATCCTATCAGTTGTCTCGTCCATTTCTTATTCGAATTAGTTTGTTATAGACAGGAAGGATTTGGTTCAGAGTTTCAGTCACCCTAAAACCAAATCATATGAACACAACAAGAATAAACTTACCCTAAACAACCACACCCATCTGTGAGAATTTTTTTTTTCAACAGAAACACACAGTTTACTGCATAGACACCGAAGCACCTACAGCCATTCGTGAAACCCACTGGACCTAAACCTTGCCCGCCATAGTGTTTCTGAAAAGGAAAGGGAATGAAGAAAGAAAGGGAGAAGGAAAATGAAACTGCCAAAAAGAACCCAAATGCAGCACACATAAAACCCCCACTAAAGATACCCAATCAAAACGCCCAGTCAAGACACCCCATCAAGACATCCCATCCCACACCCCATCCCCCCCCCCCCCCCCCCCTTCAATCACATCAACGTATCGACCATGTACGTGGCCTCCACCCAGAGAGCCCCGCCTTCCACATCGACATCGTCCCTCTCCCGATCCACCAAATCTACGTTAATCCCCCCCATGGAAGACGCTGCTCGAAGCAGGATGACACGGGCTTGCGCCCGTTGTAACGCCACCCCGATGAGCGCCTTCAGTGACCCTAAAAGATAAGCCGAAAACACAGAGTCGTCCTCTCGACAAGCCCCCTGCGACACAGCTAGTCCCACGTGCGCAACTCCCTGCTGACGAAGCCACCACTGAAAACGACCGCCGATACACCCCCACGTCTCAACTATCAAAGGGGTGAACTGCACGCCCCGGTTGCGTGCAAGCAGAGGCGCGTAGTCACTCGTTTTGCGGCGCTCCCACTCCCTTGCCGCCACACCTATTTGACGCCCGCACTGTCCCAGCAGTGATGGAGACAGCGATAGCGGGCCTGCGACGCTGATCTCTAGGGCGTGAGCCTCTCCAGCCATTGGACGTCGCACCGCCACATCAACCCGCTTCCCATGCAGCATCACACTATCCTCCATTGTCACCACCACCCCCCCCCCCCCCCCCCCAACGCCTTAGAGATCTTCGCCACCGCAAACTTCACCTCATCATGCACCCGAGAAGGACCATGCTGATGCCTGCATCTCAGGGCATGGTGCGGCCCTGCTGGGTCAACAAACGCTGTGCCACAAACACACCTCCCCGCCACCTGCAGCTGCTGGATTGGGAGGCAGAGCCGTATAGCAGCAGCAATGCCCCACTCAGCTGCAGTGAATGTGAGATCTGAGTGAGCCGGAACCGCCGAAACCCATGCACCTGCCCCCGGGCCCTGAAGGGATGTGAAACGGGCCAAGGTGGCATCGTCACGAGCCAAGCGGCGCAGTGCCTGGAGCTCCTCTACAGCTAACTGCCGCTGCCGCGCCTGGAAAAGCCGAATAGGAGGGGCCGCTACACACAGAGGTAAGCCCGGTATCTCTTGGCGGATAGGCGCTGGCAGCTGCTCAAGAGCCTTGACAAACCACGGGTCAAGAGGCCGCCGCCCGGATCCCGAACCCTCCGAGACGCACAGGGAGATGCAGCTGTATGCGTGCGCGCCTAGACCGGTCGGGGTCCTGCTCCCAAGTGCCAGGTGGAAAAAGCTGCTCAAAGCAATCCTCTAAACAGCTGTCCCAATCCCTAAAAGCCTCGACTACCTCGGGACGCGGCGGCATAGTCCGGGCGAGGTACATCGGCCGCGCTGAAACTGCAATGGCGAGGAGGTGTGAAGCCATCTGGGGGTGGTCGAGCAAGGGGAGCCATGGCAGTGGCGCGTGCAACTGTCGAAGCCGCTCCCGTAGCCAGACCACCTCCCAAACCTCCTCTCCAATAGGCGCGCCCACCACAGTAAGACCCTCATCCACCCGGTGCATCCCCAATGGCAGTGCCCACTCCACCTCCTTGCCCTCGCGCTCCCAAAACCGGCACTTGTGCGCCAGCACCTCCAGCCCCACCCACTCCAACCGCTCCTAAAGCACCCCAAAAGCCTCCAGAATCCTAGCCGCTGGCCCCAAAATATAGGTATCGTCTGCATAGCTGAGGAAAAGCAGGTCTTTGAACTCCCTAATAACCGGCTCCATCACCTGCTGCTGAGTGAACGCGAAAAGAAAAGGGCCAAGCAGGTCCCCCTGCCTCGATCCCCGTGCTGACTCGAGGCTCTGTACGAAAGGGCCTACTCGGAGGTACAGGTCGCTAGGTGTCCCATAAAAGACACGCAAGAATGGGATCATCCCTGAGAAAGGCGACTCCCCCAGCCCATCGAACATCACATGACGGTGAAACGAATTGAAGGCGTTTGCGACGTCTATCTGTAGCGCACACCAGTCGGGGTGAGTGGCCAGCGCTGACCGGAAAGAGTGAGTGAGAATCTCCGCCCCGACACTGGTGCCCGCTCCCAGCTGGTTGCACGGCAGGAAGTAGGAAACCATTGCAGGGCGGAGCGAGATGCAGAGAGCTCGAGCAAGGATATGAGGAAGCACCTCCCCGATCGCCATCGGCCGGACGTCGCCGTTAAGCTTGGAAAGCTCGACTAGGTTGGATGCGGCGAGCCACGGCCGAGCCCGCTCGGGGACCTGTCCTGCCACCCATTGGTTGAACACTTCCAACAAGTGGGAAAGGCAGGAAGGTTCAGTGAGGAAGGTGTCGCGGAGATGCTCTGTGACCCACCCCGATGGCCCTGCTGCTGAAGCTCGAGCGGCTGTATGGATAGCTCTGGCCAGGATGTCGGTCGTGAGTGAAGGCCGCTGAGCAGTATCGATAGTGAAATCGCGGACCCACTGTGGTACCTCGCCAGCGCTAGCTGGGTGCTTCTCTCGCAGCGACTGCACCATGACCTCAGACGGTCGAGCCAACTCCCCTGCTGTAAGGCAGGCCAATCCACGGCTCCACTCCCCCACTTTGCACCGAGATCGGCTCCGTGACAGGCGGATGGCATCCGGGTCCTGGTCAGAGCAAGTGTAGGAAAGTGGGCAAACTGCTCGCCGCGCCGCCACCATGGCAGAATCGAACAGCTCCCGCCACCTCCCCTCCCAGAACGCACCCAACCGCTCTGTGATCAGCGCCTTCTGACCTATGCCTGGCTTGGGAGGCATGGCTAGGATGAGGCGCGGAAACGCCAAGAGTAGGAGGGTAGCGGCTTCATCTCCCGGCTGGCTCTTCAAGCGCTTAAGGATGCAATAGAGCGCGTCTAAAACCCCCGACCTGGCCCGCTGTGGGATCCGGCGCACTGTCCTCCCTCCAACCGCCTCCACGCTGAAAAATGTTTCCCTTTCCATGACGTAACCCCAGCGCACGCCTCCTCCCCAAATTCCCGCGGTGTCGATCGCTCCTGCATGTCGGTCTCCACCAGAGACGGAATCGAGCCGAGAGCCTGTGCGCGCCTCTCCGCCTCCGCCGCTCGGCATACCCTCATGTGGTTCGCAGCGGCCCCCCGCGTAGCGAAAGTGTGGAAACACGTGTCGCACGGAAAGCGGGGGCATGGGGAAGGCGGCATGCGAGGTGCTTCGTCCGCCTCGGACTCCTCCACAGTTGCCATGGGGGTATCGAGCTCCAAAAGTCGACACCACTCCTCCAACTGTTGCTCCTGGTCGTCCATCGATCGCCCCCCTGATTGCTGTGCTCCTTGGGGTGCCCAGGGCACCCTCGGCTGCCCCCCTGGCTGCTGCACTCCCTGGGATGCCCCAGTCACCCCCGGCTGCCCCCCTACCTGCTGCTCCCCCTGGGGTGCTCCGAGCACCCTCGGCTGCCCTCCTGCCTGCTGCACTCCCTGCCCTCCTCCTTGCTGCACTCTCTGGGGTTCCCCAGGCACCATCGACTGCCCTCCTGCCTGCTGCACTCCCTGGGGTGCTCCGGTCACCCCCGGCTGCTCCCCTACCTGCTGCTCGCCGTGGGGTGCTCGGGTCACCCCCGGCTGCCCCCCTAGCTGCTGCTCTCCCTGGGGTGCTCCGGTCGCCCCCGGCTGCCCCCCAGCCTCCTGCTCTCCCTGGGGTGCTCCAGGCATCTTCGGCTGCCCTCCTACCTGCTGCACTCCCTGGGGTGCCCCGAGCACCCTCGGCTGCCCTCCTGCCTGCTGCACTCCTTGGGGTGCCCGGGGCACCCTCGGCTGCCCTCCTGCCTGCAGCACTCCCTGGGGTGCCCCGGGCACCCTCGGCTGCCCTCCTGCCTGCTGCACTCCCTGGGATGCCCCGGGCACCCCCGGCTGCCCTCCTGCCTGCTGCACTCCCAGGGGTGCTCCGGGCACCCCCGACTGACCCCCTGCCTGCTGCACTCCCTGGGGTGCCCCGGGCACCCTCGGCTGCCCTCCTGCCTGCTGCACCCTCCGGGGTGCCCCGGGCACCCCCGGTTGCCCCCCTGCCTGCTGCACTCCATGGGGTGCCCCGGGCACCCCCGGCTGCCCCCCTGCCTGCTGCACTCTCTGGGGTGCCCCGGGCACCCCCGGCTGCCCTCCTGCCTGCTGCACTCCCTGGGGTGCTCCGGGCATCCCCGACTGACCCCCTGCCTGCTTCACTCCCTTGGGTGCCCCGGGCACCCTCGGCTGCCCTCCTGCCTGCTGCACCCCCCGGGGTGCCCCGGGCACCCCCGGTTGCCCCCCTGCCTGCTGCACTCCCTGGGGTGCCCTGGGCACCCCCAGCTGCCCTCCTGCCTGCTGCAACCCCTGGGGTGCCCCGGGCACCCCCGGCTGACCCCCTGCCTGCTGCACTCCCTTGGGTGCCCCGGGCACACTCGGCTACCCTCCTGCCTGCTGCACCCCCTGGGGTGCCCCGGGCACCCCCGGTTGCCCCCCTGCCTGCTGCACTCCCTGGGGTGCCCCGGGCACCCTCGGCTGCCCTCCTGCCTGCTGCACTCTCTCGGGTGCCCCAGGCACCCCCGGCTGCCCCCCTGTCTGCTGCACTCTCTGGGGTGCCCCGGGCACCCCCGGCTGCCCCCCTGCCTGCTGCACTCCCTGGGGTGCCCGAGGCACCCCCGGCTGCCCTCCTGCCTGCTGCACTCCCTGGGGTGCCCGGGACACCCTCGGCTGCCCTTCTGCCTGCTGCACCCCCTGAGGTGCCCCGGGCACCCCCGGTTGCCCCCCTGCCTGCTGCACTCCCTGGGGTGCCCCGGGCACCCTCGGCTGCCCTCCTGCCTGCTGCACTCCCTGGGGTGCCCCGGGCACCCCCGGCTGCCCCCCTGCCTGCTGCACTCCCTGGGGTGCTCCGGGCACTCTCGGCTGCCCCCCTGCCTGTTGCTCTCCCTGGGGTGCTCCGGTCACCCCCGGCAGCTCCCCTGGCTGCTGCTCTCCTTGGGGCGCCCCGGGCACCCAGGGCTGCCCCCCCACCCGCGGAGTTCTCGGGGGTGTCTCGGTCACCCCCGGCTGCCCCTCCGCCTGCTGTGCGGCAGCTCCGCTTCCAGTTCGCCCTTGCGTCTTACGAGCGTGTCGTCTCCCGCCTCGGACCCGTGCCCGGGTTCTCTTCGCTTGGCTTGTAGTGTCCGCACTAGCGACCTCCAGCTGCCCCCGCGCCGGCAGCTCCCGCCGCTCCCCCTCCGACAGCTCCTGCTGCCCTCCCCCCGACAGCTCGAGCTGCCCTCCTGTTGGCAGCTCCTGCCGCTCCTCCCCCGGCAGCTCCTGCTGCTCTCCTGCCTGCAGCCGGACTTGGCTCCCTGATTAGTCCTGCTGCACCTCTGGCATTAGCTCGGCCATCTCCACATCCACCGCTTGCTGCTCCCTTGCCGGCAGCTGCCCCACCCCCGGCGGCTTCTGCCGCTCTTCCCTTGGCAGCTCCAGCTGCTCTCCCCCAGACGGCCCCTGCTGCCCTCCTGCCTGTGGCCAGGCCTGGTTTCCCGATTGGTCCTGCTGTGCCTCTGGCTGTAGCTCGGCCATCTCCACTTCTACCGCTTCCTGCTCCCTTGCTTGCTGCTCCCTTGCCGGCAGCTCCTGCTGCTCTTCCCTTGGCAGCTCACGCTACTCTACCCCGGCCGGCTCCTGCTGCCCTCCTGCGTGTGGCCGGGCACGGTTCCCCGATTGGTCCTGCTGCACCTCTGGCTGTAGCTCGGACATCTCCACTTCTACCACTTGCTGCCCCCCAGCCGGCAGCTCCTGCTGCCCTCTCGCCGGCACCTCCAACTGCCCTCTCGCCGGCACCTCCTGCTGCCCTCTCGCCGGCACCTCCTACTGCCCTCTCATTGGTGCCTCCTGCTGCCCTCCCGCTGGCAGCTCCTGCTGCCCTCCCGTTGGCACCTCCTGCTGCCCTCCCGCTGGCACCTCCCGCTGCCCTCCTGCCTGCAGCTCCTGCTGCCCCCCCGCCGGCAGCTCCAGCTGCCCTCCCGCCAGCCGCTCCTGCTGCTCTCCCTTCGGCAGTACCTGCTGCTCGCCTGCCGAGCGCGCCTGCCGCCCTCTTGCCTGCGGCTCTTGCTGCCCTCTCGCCGGCAGCTCCAGCTCCCCTCTCGCCGGCAGCTCCTGCTCCCCTCTCGCCGGCAGCTCCTGCTCCCCTCCCGCCGGCCGCATTTGCTGCTCCCTTGCCTGTGGCTTCCGGGCCTCCCCCAACAGCCAGTTCTGCTGCCCCCCCTCTTGCCTCGAGGGATGTGTCCCCGCTGGACTCCACTGCTGCCCTTCCGCCTGGGCTCTCCGTCTCTGTTCCTGCCTTTGGGCCAAGCGAGGCCCGCGCGGAGCTGTGAGGGCTGGGCGTGCCGAAGGATTTCCTAGGGCCCTCCGCCGCCTATCATGAGACTCCTGCAGTCGCCGGCGGTGTGCCTCCCATGCAGCCATCGCCGCGTCATCACCGGTACCTTGCCTGTGCGCCCCATGACCGCACTCGCCCTCTTCCGTCACGTCCAGGTCCTGGTTGGAGATGGTGTCGCTGCCGCCTACGAAGCCGCCGAGAGTGTCTTTGGGTGGTTCCTCTGTCCCCCCCTCTGTCGAGAGGGGTCTATACCTTTGTCGCTTGCTGGGCTTGCCAAAAAGGCAGAGTGCATCCTCGTGGTGGAGGCGACAGAGTTGTGGGTATTGCATACTCAGCGCTGCCTCCCTGGGTCTCTTGTGGCCAATCCTCGCGATGATCTTCCTCCCTCGGTCTGGGGGGTCTGGATCGTTGGTCATGGCGTAAGCTGTTTGCAGGGGGCGCTGGAGGGGCACCTCCCGCCTTCGATATAAGGCTCGCAGTCCGGGTGAGTCGAAGGTGTTTGGCGTCGTTGGCGCACGGAGACTCCCCTATACGCTGGACGCTCCTACCTGCAGGTGTTGGTACCTAGGCGCGGGTCTCGCTTTGTGGTCCTCCCTACACGCGGTAGTCGCTGCCTAGGCGCGAGCTTCACTGCGATGGCGCTCCTACGCGCGAGTATAGCTGCCTGGGCGCTGATCCCTCCGCCGCGGCGCGGATTTCGTTGCTACGGCGCGGGTTTCACTGTTACGTGGCGGATTTCGCTGCTACGGCACGGACTTCGCTGCTACGGCGCGGGTTTCGCTGCTAAGGCGCGGATTTCGCTGCTACGGCGCGCAATTCGTTGCTACGGTGCGCACTTAGCTGCTACGGGGCGCACTTTGACGCTACGGCGCGGGCTTCGCTGCTACGGCGCGGATTTCGCTGCTACAACGCGGATTTCGCTGCTACGGCGCGGATGTCGCTGCTTCATCTTGGGTTTTGCTGCCTAGGCGTGGATGTCGCTGCTACGACGGGGATTTCGCTGCCCCGGCGCGAATTTCGCTGCTACTGCGTTGATTTCGCGGCTACGGCGCGATGTTCGCTGCTGCGGTGCGGATTTCGCTGTTACGGCGCGGGTTCCACTGCCCAGCTGCGCGCTGCTACCTGCAGTTCGCGGGCTAAGCGGCTAAATCACTGGTTGGTCAGCAAGATCGCTGCTTTGCAGCTAGGTCGCGGGCGGGGCGGCTAAAATGCGGGCTAGGCGGCTAGATCGAGGCGTAGGCGGCTAGATCACGGGCTGGGCGACTAGATCGCGGGCTGGGCGGCTAAATTGCGGGCTGGGCGGCTAAATTGCGGGCTGGGCGGCTAGATCGCGGCCTGGGCAGCTCAATCGCGGGCTAAGAGGCTGGGTCGCGGGCTACGTGGCGGAATCGCGCTGCTACTAGCAAGGAAAGAGCTGCTGCCTAGCGGGAGTCGCGCTGCTGCCTAGCTGGGATCGCGCTGCTGCCTAGGTAGCTGCTGCCTAGGAATCGCGCTGCTGCCTAGGTAGCTGGGATCGCGCTGCTGCCTAGCGAGAGTCGCGCTGTTGCCTAGCTGGGATCGTGCTGCTGCCTAACGAGAGTCGCGCTGCTGCCTAGCTGGGATCGCGAGAATTTCGTCAACAATCGTCCATTTCTTATTCGAATTAGTTTGTTATAGACAGGAAGGATTTGGTGGTGGTTTATGTTTTTTAGAGAAGCTTATGATTGTACTGTGATACACTTCACATTCCCGGTATAAGGGTGGGTCTTCTTTTTCCGTCAGGGTTTGTTAGACGCAGGTCGAAGACGATCCCGAACGTTTCTAAGCGGTTAAACCAACTTAACGCTCCAGATCAAAGCGCATGGGGAGAGTATATCCCGGCTCCATAGTTTCAAAAATCTCTCAAATTTAGTTTTAAGTTTACTAAAAAAGTACAGCTTTCTAGAAGTTTGTTCATGCGAGGCCCAGATTATGTTCGAAACTGGTCCTGCGGGGAAAAAGTTACGACACGTGTCTTATTTCATATTAGCAATTTCTGACGGGGGCAAAAAACATAAAACCCCTAGAGGAGCCAGGACACACGTTCGGGAGGGACCAACCCTAAACACGGGGACCCGCTTGGTGTTTAGTGTTGATCCCTCCCGCAAATGTGCCCTAGTTCCCGAGGAGTTTTATTATTTTTGCCCCGTCAAAAAATTTTCAAGCGAAACTGGACACGTGTCGAAAACTTCGCCTCGCAGGACCAGTTTTGAACATACTTTGGGCCTCGCGTGAGCGAAATTCTTGGAAGTAGTACTTTTGGAGTCAACCTGGACCTAAATTTGAGAGAAATCTGAAAGTATGGACATGAAATATAGTTTCCCAAGCGCATTTGAATGAGCCTTTCAATACTCGTGCTGGACCTCGTGTCGTGTGCCATCAGCGGACACGCGTGCCATGTGTTCGCCAGGTCTTTTCAAGATTTATTCGCACCGCACTTGCCGTCCGAAAGGTTGAACACTTCTCTCAAATCGAATGTGCGACTTGAAATTTATTCAACTTTCAAGCGAGCAGAGGGTTACATGCGTCGCGCGATCCGATTTTTATTGGGCCTGTTCTTGTCAGCGCTGCACATTTCCGGAGTGAGGGTGCATTCCTGAGTTGGTGGCAGGGCAGCTGTTGGTGGCAAGCGCATTTTCCGGCCCACTGAATTTTTGGGTACACTTGCCACCAACTCGATGTGAACAGTTGCCCTGCCACCAACCAGGAATGCACCCTGAGTTCCGTAGTGCTAGGCCAAAGACAACCCAACCCATCTGCTGCAAGCGGGTGGCAGCAGTGAGAAATGGTAAAGTTCTTTGCCTGTTTCTCAACTCAACTCGTTCGATTGCCGACACCTCGTGCATCCACTCCCGCTCCATCTCTCCACAAGCATTTCGCTTTTCACTCGAAGGGTATAAAAACACGATTTTCCTTCTCTCCCATCAGAGAGCAGCGCCTCTTCCCAATCATCTAGAATCGCTCAGTCTTAGCGATTCTTTCCGCAACTCGAGGTTCGTCACGAGCCTTGAGACCCCGTTTCCGACCATTCAAGGTTCTGCATTTCCTACCGTACCTCGAACTGATCGCCCGCCTTTTCCGCCCCAAGTCGACACCACCACTCCAACATCATCCGCCCCCCACCATCATGGCGCGCGCTACTCTCGCTTTGCTGCTCCTCCTCCTTGTCGCCCCATCCGCCGTGTTCGCGCGTAAGCGCGTGGCGCAGTCCGGCTGCGTGAAGTCCACGCTCGCGGGTTACACGTCAGCGGTCGACCTGAATGGAAATGGGTGCGCTATTCATGCTTGTCGTAGCAGTAGATAGTAGAGCATAACTGAAGAATCATAATCAGCGTTTTCCTGGTCATTTAGTAGAACACGGTTCCTGGTCAAACCTCATCAAGCACAATCTCCGGCAACTCCCCCCCAATTGGCGGTTGAAAAGGATGAGCCAGATAATATGCTGGCTCTAGTCGAGGAACGGCTAACACGATTTTCTTCCCTCCACCTTTCCATTGCCCTATTGCTTCTCAGGCTCATGTTTCACTGGAAGGTCTCGGGATCGACTCTCAGCGCCGCCGTTGAAGCCCCATCCAACAAGGGCTCGGTCTCTGTTGGCTTCTCCATCGCGAAATTGGGAAGTGCGGAAAGTAGCCCTGAATACACTCTTGCACAACTTACCCGATAGTACACCCCCGGCACTTTTGAGTCAAGGTTTTAGAACTGCGTGGCGACAGTCACTGGCGTAGTAACTTCCGAGTCACTTTCCCGCGCCTTTCTGCACAAACTCAGTCAACCGTTTAGCAACGCCACCCGCATCTGCGCACATGCTAAACAGTCACGGGCTGCTCCACCCAAATGTTCACCTGCCCATACCGTGTCAACCAACTCGAAAGCGACGAGCACGTAACCCCAACTGCCAATCCGTACGGGCTTCCCCACGTGGCATACTGTTTCAACTCCCACGTCCACGTAAGCGTACATGCAGCAAAACGTACAGCAACCACAACCGTTGGATGGACACCCTGGTCACGCAATCACTACGGTACACGTGTCGCATGTACATAAACTCGCATAGCACGTTACGCATTCGCGCACACAAACTCGCACAGCCTTGCAAGCTCACCGCGCTCCGATCTGCACCGTACATCTGGTGGTCAAGCATCCTTCCCACACCGTACATTTGGATGCATCCCATAGGGCAGCAAACCGCATATCACGCCAACGGTAGCCACTACCCCTCATCCACGCGGCCTCACTCCACTTGCGCATCGTGCGTCCGCACCAGACGCGCCAATGCATAAACACCGTACACCTGAACCAATGCCACCGTTTCGTGCACTTCGCGAAAAGTCTCGCCTACCATTAGGGTTGCGCTCGCAACTAGATGACGACGACACCTGCGTCGTCCATCTGTATACATCGTAAACACCACCGACCTTCCACGTCACGCACAATTAATCCATCTTACCCGTACACTTGCAACCCGATCATGCAATCGCACAAACGGTAACCGGTTGCCCTACCCATCGTGGCTCACGTTTGCGACGTATGCGCGAACCACTCACAACCGTGCATTTGTCGCACCCGTATAGCATATCACAGCGCACATCCCACCGTCGGCCTCATCTTCACGCTCGTCCACGATTGTGACACGGGTGTACAAGCGCGTGCCACCCTCCCATACCATTGGCTCCACGTCATCCCTTAGCCTTGTTGCGGTCCAACCAGATGTCCACTTACGCGCACCGCTGCGTCCTTTACGTCCAACGTACAGGTGACACATGGCACACACCGTAAAATTCGCCGCAGAATGCGGCGCATCCCTCTCCGTCCCGCACATCTGGGCGACGGCGGGTTCGCTGTGGCATGCACCATATAGTTTCTGTTATGTGCTGTCATATGCGAGCAATACCCCAATTGAAGCTTTTCCCATTAACAACAAACGCACACACAAACATACAACGCCTCCACGCCTATGTCTAACCCCCCCACATC